AAGATAAAAACTGCCATCTTCCACCTCCCTTTTTTCTGCCAAGTTTCTTTTTGTGTGGGTACACTGCTTCCAAGTTTAGCTATATATTTATCTTATGTATAAGAAATAACCAGGATTTTTTGAATTAACCAAAATAAGAAAATTATCAAAGAGTAAATTTCCTTCATCATTCATTATTAGTTTTTATTAGTTTCCACATTAGTATGTGATTCATTTCTAACTAATTGATAGATTTTTTCAAATTGTCCTTCGATCCAAGCTATTAAAAAGATCAGCACAATACGTTATTAATGTATTTCCTTATTGTTATATAACTACATGTCATAAGGGTAAAAGATCTTTGAGGCCAGCAAAGGCCTTCAAATCATTCTTTTAATTTATCTTTTGTTGAAGCTCTAAACGTTCAGCAGCACATCCGAGTTCACCTTAATGATATGTTTACACCATTGCTCTCATATTGCCGTAAATGAAAGAAATGATAGTCCAGTTACACTTGTGATCATTCATTAATAGCGATGCCAACTTCAGTATCACACCATCCATTTCAAATAATCTGCGAGATTTGGGATATTTTCGGAAAAATACTATGAATAAGATGAAAGTTTGCCTACCTCCAATTCACCATTTTATATGTAAAACATTTTTCCTTAGTAGATCTTATACAGAACAGACCTTGTCTATTGTAGCTCCGAAAATATTTTAAGTCTTATAAATCGTGTGAAGTGAAAAAAGGGATAACAGAAAATAGTCGTCGCTCCTAATGTATTTTCGGATTTTCTTTATGCGAGATTGATGAAAAAAAATTGTGGATCAAAAACAATTCTTTAGGTCTTGTAAGTCAAAGTAATTAACTCAGTTTTTTTTTACATATTACATTATTTTTTTACTGCAGTTCTCCAATTTACTGCAGTTCTCCAATTCAATTAATTTGAAGAAACATTCCTTAAAGACTGGAAATTACGAAAAGCACTACTATATAATATATTCAGTTGGTATCAAAATTTCTCTATATGCGTAAAAATTCAGATGTTATGATGAGTGATTAAAAACTAATTCCTTTGATCATTTATTTCTGCATTTGATGGCGTCATAAAACGGAAAAGGTTAAAAAAGGTTTAGAGTTTTAACGACAGACAAGATGCAGCTTAGAATAATAGTATTGACCATCACTTATTCAAACATAATAGAACTTTGAGACTACTGAATAGTTTTTTTTTTTCTGTGCTGATACTAAAGAGTATGTACTAAACACGTAGTGAATATGTATCCTTATTTTTAATTTTTGCAAATAATCATTAGTTATTTAATTTCTTCCTCATCTTGCACATTGTTTGTTATATCTTTTTGAATCTTTTGACTTTTTATTTTGAAAAGCTGAAATCAAGAAATATTTGTAAGATTGATGAGAATAGCAGAAGGATTGTGATATGAAGAATATTGGTGCAATGGTCTGTCTATAAATGGCAACTATTAACAAATCGCTAAGTTTAATTTTGTTAAATGGATAGCTGTTTAGAAAAGCGGATGGTGTGGACAAATTTCTTGTTAATTAAGTTAATTTTCTCAATGGGAGTTTATATTTCTCGCTTAGGTAAAGATGTTTTTAACATATGCATGTTAGATAGCTAGATGTTACAATTTCCTCTATTTTCATTTAAATAAATTTTTGAAAAACAATATTTTTGGTTTTTGACCTCATCATTCACTGTTATGACATAAAATATTAGGTATCGTGCCATGATGTGCGTTGTGTTTTTATGATTGTCTATTTTCGATTTTGGTAAAATACATCCCAAGTTTCATAAATTCCAAGACTTCCTAAGTTTGGTCAGTGTTCACTCTTAGCTTAGTGAAAAATGCTTAAAATTCAGAGTGATCTCATTTTATATATCTTTGTTACCATTCAGTGTAATAGACAAAAAAAAAAAAGAAAAAAACAAATGAGCTATTGTTTGAAAAATCGATTAGTTAGCGGCAAATTTGGTTGTGATGCGTTTTATCCCATCTAATGCTTATCATTCATAATCCATGCATTTAGATCATATCATTTGTAAACTTATTTGTTACTTGTTTCTGACTTCCTTCTATTATTTTCTGTTATGTCCATTGCTACTGTGTCAACCAATAAATTACCGTTCGCTATCCAGACTATTTTGGGTGGTGATGATGAACAATTGAAAATTTCCGAATCGGAGCGATCAAGTTCCAAAAGTGATCTTCCAAGAAAAAACTATGATCAAAGCTGCTTGCCTGAATGTCCTGATATTATTTCTATAGCTCCATATCACTTTCCTTGTCAAAACATAAAAACTGCTGCACTCGAAATTACATCTATACTTCCCTCTATTAATCACTGCAAATTTATCGATAATCCATCACAATCCATTATTAGTACAGTTCAGAATTATTGTCGCTATAATCCTTTTTTCATACAGTACTCACCGGTACGATACGGATTTGCTTCTACTTCGGTAGATATGTGGAATCAATTTGCTCATTCTAACGAATTTAATAACCTGTTCAATTTACCCGACATAAAATTTAGAATGCTGTCTGTAAATTCTTCAAATTTTTCCTTCCATTCCGACTTGTCTAGTTCTAAAATTATAAAAACTTCTGACAACAAGCAAACTGTATCACACAGCAATGTAAATCACGAGCGTGTTGGATTTTGTTCAGTTAGAAATTCTTCATCACTCCCAATTATTATTACATCTTTCAAATCCTCGACTACTGATAGTACAGGAAGCGATTCAGTAGAGTCACAAAAAACCAATCGACGAAAAAGTTCCATAACACTACGACATACCAGGCATTCTTACCAGAATCGAATTCCAGCAAGGCGCAAGAAACCGCGTGCATTCTTTACCAGAAAACAGGTCTATTTTTCAATATAATATCATAAATTTTTTTATATTTCAGTGATATCGTTTTAATAAAAACACGCTACAAAATTTCGTACAGTCACTTGTCTTAATGCTACATGTTCAAATATTGCACAAAAGATCACTTTGAAAATCTTACGTAAAGAACTGACAACAGATAAGTAATATCAATACAAAACAGCGTATTCCTAGAAAACAAACTGAAAATCCGAAGCAAGTTGGCCAGAGAAATAGAACGACTCAAATTGATGAAAGCTTAAAAATGGATTCTAAACATATCGCTTTTATGGCGTGCAGCATCAAGTCCAAGTCTTCTGCTCGTTATTGTTCATGCGCATAAAAATACTTCAGGAAGAAGTGCACAAAACCAAATCACTGGATACTTTGTTTTAATAATCTCTCTCCTGCTGAAATGATAAATTTACTGAAAGTACTTTCACTAGCATTTACTCCAATTTTAAGCAGTTTGATGCATTCAATTCCTATTGTGCTAATTATATCAGTCAAATAAGGATATCAATTTGAATATTTCCTATCCAGTTATCATTCGCTACTTAAATGCACATATTAAAATTCATTTTGCTACTCGACACTATTTGTTGAACATTTTTTTAAATCACAATAGGTCTTTTTAAATTTAAGGTAGAATCACTGGAATCCAGATTTCTAGCGCAGAAGTATTTAGCAAGTACCGAAAGAGTGAACTTGGCCAATCAGCTAAAAATGAGCGACATTCAAGTTAAAACGTGGTTTCAAAACAGACGTACAAAATGGAGGTAAATTTCAAAAAATAAAAAAAAGCAGTTTTATATTTCGTGTGGTGCCAAATTAACGGTCTGACAAGTTATGAGTGGACTTCCCATCTTGAAATGCAGTGTCTTCTGAATTTTAATGCTCAACTTTTTTTTGTTCTATAAAATTACTGAAACATTTGTAAATTACCTTAGTGTTACAGCTTTTAACTGTGTTTAAAATAATTTCGTTGCTGAATGGGTTGATGTTGTTTCTATAGTTATTTAGCTGTCTGATGATCATAAGAGAATTTTCTTTTCTGAAATTGAACTTCTTGTTAGTAATAAATTCTAATATCCACACTAAGGAAAAATAAGAGGATTTAAAGTAAGCAGTTATATTCTTCCCTTGGAATTAATAAATGGAAAATGTCCGAAAAATGAAACACATGCATTATTGCAGACGGCAAGAAGCAGAAAAAAGAGAATCCGAAGGCAAAAAGAAAGTCAAGATGATGTCTTGTTACTCAAAATGCTTTTTTGCCAGACCTGATATAATGCTTTAACTGGTTTTTTCTTCTATAAGTAAACAAGTGATTAGTTGAAAATGGCAAGCAAAATTGTTTTAGAAAGCTCAAAACATTTTCTAGTTCAAGTATGTCAACCCTCTTTTCCACTTCTTCCTCAACTGATGCTCCATTTACCATTTTCGCACTCCATTTCATTTCGTTTCATTTTCCAATTTTTTTTCTAATTTCCTAATTTCGGCTCGAGTTTTATTTCTTGTTATATTACCTTTCGAAAATAAGGTGAAGTTGAGAAACGTTAAGTAACTAAGTCTTTATCTTGTTCCTTCATTAAGTTTCGTATTTTTCTTTGCATCTTCTCAGTTATCCTTTCCTTCACATAATTACTGAAGTTGAATGGGTTCAGATTGCCTTAATAGCATAGGAAGTGTTTTAAAATGCATGCCATTGCCATTGCAAAAATTTCTAGTCATCTAAAAGGTTTTCAAAAGTATTGAACAGAATATCTGCCTGGTTAAGTTTCTTTATAAAAATGCCCACAGCAGTGCCATTTACAATAATAGATATGTTAACAAATTCAATAACTAAATAAGTTGCAAAAGTCATTCTCAGCAAAATCTTAATTCAGTTATGACCTCTCTTATGTATTGCTGTAAATCCTTAATTTTCTTTCTTCTGTTTCATCCTCTTTTCTTCTCCACGAAAAACTTTTATTTTGCACAAATTTTATCGGAACACAATGGAAATAATCTATAAATGATTTCTACATTAGAAAAGTCTTGCAGATGGCGTTATCAGGAAAAAATGACTGAGAATGGGGAATAAAATTTGAGAAAAGAAACATTATAACGAATTCATCAAAGTACAGTTGATTGTACTGAACTTATAAAAACAGGAGAACTTTGACTTAGAATCAGTTGAGATGAAAGTTGTAATGATCGGTCCAGTTCTATCCGTTTACATTTGTAGCGACGATTTTGGAACCAAATTTTGACTTGGGTGGAAGTAAGACCCAGCGTCACTGCTAATCTATCCCGTTCTGCTGCATTCACATATCGCTGCAATTTGAAACGCTCTTCCAGTTCATTCACCTAGAATTCAGTTATCCGTCTCCTATCATTTGCGACTGGAGGAGTTTTGATCTGTTCTGTTTCTTGTAGCATAACAATTGCTAAATCAGAAAGTACTTTCTGTCGATAACATGCATTATGTATGTACGACATGTTAGGTCTGCAGTTCCCGAGTTCTTTAATTTGGCACACAGTTCCTATGGGCACTTGTTAATTAGAAAAATGTAAGGAAAAAAGAAGTCGTACCTAAAAGTATACTTTTTGATCTTATGGAAATCTAAAAAAGTTTGAAACTATGAATTCCGTTCACCAAATTTGAGATGGATTCAGCCGAATTGTGTACAGTGTACAAAACATAGGGTTAAACAAAGAACAAAAAAATATCTGTAAAATGCAACAAATTTATCAAAGCCACCTGAGACTGGGTAAACAAAACGCGGGGTTTCCGTCGCGTCTGCTGCGACCGGAGCTGTACAGAACATTTGAGATTACCATTACTGCCGGGACGGCTAGCGGTTAAATCGAATCGCGAGTCACTATGCATATCTAGAATTCTAATCCAAATAAACTGAACCATTATTCACCGGATTAATCAAGCAGCTAATGCTTGCAATAAATAAACTGTTATTATCATTATTTACAACTCCTTCATTACTAATACTGTTCGAGTCCGAATCAGGAAATTGTTCTAAATTGCTCATTTTAGACTGTAACATAACAATCAATCATTCCTAATTTTTTTGTCTTTTCGGAATTTTAGATTGAAAGTTATCAATCTATAATTCATAAAGTTAATATGCGAGTGATAAACACTTACTTAAATGTGCATGAAATGCAAACTGTGGTACAGATGTGCTAGATGGTAACCGTTCATTGAAATCCAAATATTGCATATCATTCATCGAGGTTAGCTGTTTCAACAAAAAGTTCCGTACAGGAAACATGTAAGACGACACGTTTGGAGTTGCTGATAATGATGATAAAGTTGTACTGTTTGTCATAGATAAACTCCAAGGGTATTCGAACGTTGACATTCGGAAATTAGGTGCTGATATTGAATTATTATCTAGATTCACTACATTCAACTCGGATTTTTTGGATGAGCGAAATTCCGGATGAGGAGTATGCTAGCAGTGAGGTTATCGAACCGTTTTGGATTTTGTTAACTGTTGTTTGATGATGCATGGCCATTAATGGGGGATTCGATGATTCAAATCATTGAATTCAATTGATGCGAGTGTTGGGAGACGCGTCTTATGTCTTTAAAAGATTCTCACGCGGCTAATTTTTACCTTGAAATGACTTTCTAGTCCTCTTGTCCACATGAGGAAAGAGTATGTGAGAGAGAGAAAGACAGAAAGGAATTCTAATGGGTTCAGAGACGATACGAATAGATGTTACGGTACTGAAGTGTATTTACATAGCCAATCAGTAGTGCTCATTTTCTAGGAATTCTGAATAAAGAAATTGGAAAGTGAGAAGCGAAGAGGAAGAAAAAGGAGAAATGGATTACATTACAAACTTAAATGCGCCTTTGCTTGAGTGAGTAGAACTTACTGCATTTCAAACCTTTGTATTATTTTCCATTATCCCTCAAGCCGTCTTTGATGTAAACAGAATTGATCCATTGAAGTGATATAAATCAATTCCGTTAATCTACCAATGAGAATGCCTAGTTGCCTACAACAATCACTGTCTTTCATACTTGGCATATTTTTTCGAAATTCCTATTTCTGAATTTCCCCGCCCTCCCTCCACCAGCACTTATCCTTAATTTGAAAAATAAGTTCCAAACAAATTGCATAAATAGTTTCTTAATTCCAACTAATAATTATCTACATTCAACTACTCTGCAAACAGCTGCTTTGTAATTTCACTTGAAAAAAAAGTGATATTGGCATAAACTGTTAAAATAATTTCCCATAATAAACACTGGATTTCTTGAAGTGGTGCTTCAATGTAGTATGTTTTAATATTACTATCAATCAATCAATTACTATTAACTATATCCTAGTAACAGCAATAAGTGAGGATATAGCACAAATCTTTTTAACCAGTTAAGCAATGAAATTTGTTTTGTAAAATTAAATGTCTTGAAAACAATTTAGAATGTTAGCAGGTCAGTTTATGCAAGTAGATGGTTCTCTAATGGTCAGTGTGAATTCAACTGTGAATAACAGTATGAGCAACAGAAAAATGGATAAAACTTTACTGTTATAAATTCAATATTCTTAGTGAAATAACTGTTAGTCTTGACACTTTCACTTTTAGAACTTTTGGATGGTAAACGAACCATGAATCAGAGAATATAGGATCAATTTCCAGAGCTTTCAATATTGTGCACTAGTTCAATTTGAAAGGCATTGACTTGATTACTGAAACAGTTCAAATCAGTAACTTGAGCATACGAAATACCAACAATTTGAACGAGCGATAAGCTTACTGAACAATATCTAACCTGTTCGTGCTCAACAATATCAAATAATAATCTCAATTTAGCAGTTCTTATATTTGATTACTTCATGGAATTTGTCTCCATCTTATTTATATTAAATTTCGCGAAACATGTCCATCACATGTCTTAAACCATTTTTAATTTCTCTTTCTTGTTCTCCTCATATTTTGATTTGTCGAATCATGTGGTCTTTTAACGATAAATTTCTCACAAATAGTTGCACCTCCAATAGACTTTCTAAAGATCACGGCCATGATTATTAATACCAGCAGATTTTTCGCGTTAGAAAATGAATATTGTGCTTTTATAATTGAAATAAACATAAACACATTTCGAGAAATTAGTTGCTAAAAATCTATAAAATTAATGATCAACCATATTTCCTTCTCTAAGGTATATGAAATGCGTTGATGAATGCACCCCAGTACTTTTTACTAGAGCAACAAACCATAACCACTTTAAAAAAACCAATACTTAGAAGAAATTAATTTCAAAAAAATTACAAACAAATCATACATCTACATGGCATGAACGTGCGAAGAATGTGGATATTACAATCTTTTAAGCGAAGCATGTGACAGAAGGATATGTACCTGCGTGATCGTCTTACAGTTTCAGTGCTGAAACTGTTGTACTCATTTTACACAATTTTTCACTTACTACCACAAAGAAGAAACTGAAAATATACTTTCTTTCTTACTTATAAAAATTATTATTCTGAATGGAAAGAAGCATATTCAATTCAATGTCATCAATTCTTTTTCGGAAAATTTCTTGTTGATGAATTATCAATCAATATAATCTACGGAGTGGTATCTGTCGTGAAACTCAAAATAAATTATAACAAATATGGCTAAATAACCAAAAAAACTTGTGTTGGAAAATTTCACCCAAATGATTCACCACACAAAATACGACTAATTAAATGTTACCATGGTCAACATGATGAATTTTCTATCTTTTTTTTGTTTATCACGAATCTTTTAACTAAATTCTCATCTTTATCACAACCATGCTTATCTTTAATGTTCAAACCAAACCACATGCAATGTCTCTGATCTGATAATCAATCGTATTTCAATTGTTATGCTAATCAAATCTTCCTTAACACAGTTTTCTTTGTTGATCACAAGCACATTTCCTGCCCATTTTAATTGAATTTTATATGCAACAGGATTTTCTAATCTATCTATCTAATCTATCTATCTATCTATCTAATCTATCTATCTATCTAATCTATCTATCTATCTATCTAATCTATCTATCTATCTATCTAATCTATCTATCTATCTATCTAATCTATCTATCTATCTATCTAATCTATCTAATCTATCTATCTATCTATCTAATCTATCTATCTATCTATCTAATCTATCTATCTATCTATCTAATCTATCTATCTATCTATCTAATCTATCTATCTATCTATCTAATCTATCTATCTATCTATCTAATCTATCTATCTATCTATCTAATCTATCTATCTATCTATCTAATCTATCTATCTATCTATCTAATCTATCTATCTATCTATCTATCTATCTAATCTATCTATCTATCTATCTAATCTATCTATCTAATCTATCTATCTATCTATCTAATCTATCTATCTATCTATCTAATCTATCTATCTATCTAATCTATCTATCTATCTATCTAATCTATCTATCTATCTATCTAATCTATCTATCTATCTATCTAATCTATCTATCTATCTATCTAATCTATCTATCTATCTATCTAATCTATCTATCTATCTATCTAATCTATCTATCTATCTATCTAATCTATCTATCTATCTATCTAATCTATCTATCTATCTATCTATCTATCTATCTATCTATCTAATCTATCTATCTATCTATCTAATCTATCTATCTATCTATCTAATCTATCTATCTATCTATCTAATCTATCTATCTATCTATCTAATCTATCTATCTATCTAATCTATCTATCTATCTATCTAATCTATCTATCTATCTATCTAATCTATCTATCTATCTATCTAATCTATCTATCTATCTATCTAATCTATCTATCTATCTATCTAATCTATCTATCTATCTATCTATCTATCTATCTAATCTATCTATCTATCTATCTATCTATCTATCTAATCTATCTATCTATCTATCTATCTATCTAATCTATCTATCTATCTATCTAATCTATCTATCTATCTATCTATCTAATCTATCTATCTATCTATCTAATCTATCTATCTATCTATCTAATCTATCTATCTATCTATCTAATCTATCTATCTATCTATCTATCTATCTATCTATCTATCTATCTATCTATCTATCTATCTATCTAATCTATCTATCTATCTATCTAATCTATCTATCTATCTATCTATCTATCTAATCTATCTATCTATCTATCTAATCTATCTATCTATCTATCTAATCTATCTATCTATCTATCTATCTAATCTATCTATCTATCTATCTATCTATCTATCTAATCTATCTATCTATCTATCTATCTATCTATCTATCTATCTAATCTATCTATCTATCTATCTATCTATCTATCTAATCTATCTATCTATCTATCTATCTATCTATCTATCTATCTATCTATCTATCTATCTATCTATCTATCTATCTATCTATCTATCTAATCTATCTATCTATCTATCTATCTATCTATCTATCTATCTATCTATCTATCTATCTATCTATCTATCTATCTATCTATCTATCTATCTATCTATCTATCTATCTATCTATCTATCTATCTATCTATCTATCTATCTATCTATCTATCTATCTATCTATCTATCTATCTATCTATCTATCTATCTATCTATCTATCTATCTATCTATCTATCTATCTAATCTATCTATCTATCTATCTATCTATCTAATCTATCTAATCTATCTAATCTATCTAATCTATCTAATCTATCTAATCTATCTAATCTATCTAATCTATCTAATCTATCTAATCTATCTAATCTATCTAATCTATCTAATCTATCTAATCTATCTAATCTATCTAATCTATCTAATCTATCTAATCTATCTAATCTATCTAATCTATCTAATCTATCTAATCTATCTAATCTATCTAATCTATCTAATCTATCTAATCTATCTAATCTATCTAATCTATCTAATCTATCTAATCTATCTAATCTATCTAATCTATCTAATCTATCTAATCTATCTAATCTATCTAATCTATCTAATCTATCTAATCTATCTAATCTATCTAATCTATCTAATCTATCTAATCTATCTAATCTATCTAATCTATCTAATCTATCTAATCTATCTAATCTATCTAATCTATCTAATCTATCTAATCTATCTAATCTATCTAATCTATCTAATCTATCTAATCTATCTAATCTATCTATCTATCTATCTATCTATTTGAGAAGACCTAAAGTCTCGGCTCAGAAGCTGAAACAGTAAGTTCGCATATATTTTTTAAATAACTTGAATCAGCGATAATCTCCCTCTTAATAAAATAAATATTAACCTCAACCATATCATTTTTGCAAAGTACCTCCTTTTCGGCTCTACAAAT